CTGCCTGTCCTCAAGCTGGAGGCTGAGCCCAGCCTACAAGGAGTAGACGGAGAAGAGGCAGGAATAGGAGGAACAAGGAAGTCAGGGGTATGGGATTAGATGAGCTAAGGCCGGTTAGGTGAGGTGGGGAGAACACAGAGGGACACTGGTGAAGCCACAGGGCGGTCTTGTGGGCCTTGAGGGTGAGCCCTGGGTTCCAGGCCCTGGTGCACCCTCACTCTCTCAGAAACTCAGTTTTCCTATCTGCATAAAAGGAGAACTGGACCAAGAGAGCTTTTTCATCTTCCTCTGGCCACAGAGTGTGGCCAAAGTGTGCCATCTGCTGGCCACAAGTGGCAGTGTCTCCATTCCAGATGTGGCTGAGAGAGGTAGAGACTCCGAGGAGTCCTGCCAGGGCTTGAGTGCGGTGGGCATGGAGAGGGGTTCAGGGAGTCGGATCCTGTGGAGGACGGGGCAGGGGAGCCAAGCACAGAGAGGAGAGAGCCAGGCTGTGGGCCTTTCGGGCTGGGCTGGTGGTGAGGGCACTTGCTGGGAGTTTTGGAGACCGCTTGGTGCTACAGGCACTTCTGCCAGGGGAACAGAGAAGGTGCAGGTTGACCAGGAATGCTTCCACCTGGGCCCAGGAAGTGTCCTCAGGCTGGGGCAGCTGGGAGCCACATGCTGCCTTGCAGGTCCCATGAGGTCAGCCTGGCTGACTTAGCTGGGCTGCGGGGGCCTGGGCCAAGTATCCTGGGGTGGGGTCTGGCCCTGCAGCCTTGAGGTGCAGTGTGGTGGGGAGGGGGTGGGAGAAACCAGGGTGGGGCCAGTGAGGGGGCCAGAGCAGAGAGCTAGGGCGGGGTGTGGTAGGGTCGGGACAAGGCTGGGGCGGGAAGGACAGGAGCCCCTCTGCAGGGGGAATGTGGCAGGACCTGGTGGCACAGAGAACAAGCCTGGGGGTCATGCATTCCTTTTATTTTTTCAACAAAAGTGAATGAGCTTCAATGCTGTACCAGATGCTCAACCAAACCTTTCCTGCCCTCAGTGAGCTGGTATTCTAAAGGGGATGAGGGACAATACACAAGTAAGAAACATCTATGTCAGCTCCTGGTAAGTGCTAAGGAGGGACAGGAAACTTGGGTGGGGCTGCAGAATGCAGGGAGGGCCTGGCATTTTACATAAGGCTGGTAGGGAAAGCTTTGCTTAGAAAAGGTCTGGTGGGGCCAGATGTGGTGGGTCATGCCTGCAGTCCCAGCACTTTGGGAGGCTGAGGTGGGCAGACCGCCTGAGGTCGGAAGTTCAAGACCACCGTGACTGACATGGAGAAATCCCGTCTCTGCTAAAAATACAAAATTAGCCACGCGTGGTGGTGCGCATCTGTAATCCCAGCTACTCGGGAAGCTGAGGCAGGAGAATTGCTTGAAGCCACGAGGTGGAGGTTGCGGTGAGCAGAGATTGTGCCATTGCACTCCAGCCTGGGCAACAGAGAGATCCACCATTAAAAAAAAAAAAAAAAAAAAAAAAAAAAGGCATGATGGCTCACGCCTATAACCCCAGCACTTTGGGAGACTGAGGCAGGAGGATTGCTTGAGCTTGAGCCCAGGAGTTAGAGACCAGCCCGGGCAACACAGTGAAATCTGGTCTCTACAAAAAATTTTTAAAAAGCTATCTGAGTGTGGTGGCGTGTGCCTGCGGCCCCAGCTACTCAGAAGGCTGAGGTGGGAGGATCGGTTTAGACTGGGAGGTCCAGGCCGCAGTGAGCTGTGATTGCATCACTGCACTCCAGCCTGGGTGACAGAGCAAGACCCTATTTCAAAAAAGGAAAAGGAAGGGCGTGGAGAAAGGCAGGCATGTGGAAGTCTGGGGGAACCCCCCCCCAGGCAGTGGGAACGGTGGGGCAGACACTCAAGTCAGGGTGGCTGCATGTTGGGAACAGTGAGGAGGCCCTTGGGGCTGGAGCAGAATGTGTGGGGGCAGAGCGGCGGGAGAGGGGTCAGCCAGGGTTGAGAAGCGGAAGGAGCCCACCACCTTCGTGAAGACTCACCTGGCGGCTGTGCTGAAGTGGGCATGGCATTGCAGAATCCCCTCCAGGGGCTGACATTCCATTAGGGTGGTGGGGACAGATCCGATGGATGGGGGAGGTGGGGGCGATGAGCAAGCAGGAGTCAAGGACAACTCCAGGAGGACTGAATTGAAAGGGTGGATGAGCGAATGACTAATTTGCTCCAGGACACTCCCTCATCCCTCCTCCCCAGCTACCCTTGCCTGCCGAAGCCCCCTCCTGGTGCTGACCAAGGTGCTGAAGCCAGGCATCCCCAGCTGTTCCTCTGTGCTGGTCCTGGAGCTCCTCTGGCACAGGGTGAGGTCCTCAGAGCAGTCAGCCAGGGACCAGCGAGCGTCCCTAGTCTCCCTATTCAACAAACCCTTAGCACAGGGTCCTCCGTGGGATCCTGGCTGGGCTCCCACACCTTGGTTCAGAGCTGACTGGCCCTCGATCCTGGGCTGACCTGGTTCCAAGGCCAGGGCTGGGTCCCTTGCTCAGCAGCCGAACCCCTGAGGCCAGGCTCTGGGGGAAGGGAAGAGGAGGAGGCTATAAACAAAGGGCTTAGGAGCACAGACTCCTGGGGCGAAACCTGGAGGCTGACCTCCCCACTCAGAACCTCATTTCCTCATCTGTAAAACGCCAATCATACAATACCCGCGCCAGCACTGTTGTGCAGATTAGGTGAGTAGATAGCACCATGTGGGTAAGACAGAGCCTGGTCCGGAGAACATGGGTGCTGGCTAAACCCCCCTGGCCGGCCCCCCTCCCTCAGGCACTCAGATGTCCTCTGAAGATCCGGTGCAGTGACGGCCCGAAGCCTGCCCTTGGTGCTGGGGAGGAGGGGTTTTGCTTGACCAGGAGGCCCTGCCCTGAGCCGAGTTGGCCTCCCTTGTGGCCACCCTCCTGAGGCACCCTCTCTCCTGCACCCAGACATAGTCCTGGGCTCCAGGAGGGCTGGGTAGGCAGGGAGCCCAGTGAGCTGGTCAAGCTTGGGAAAGCATGAGGAGCGTCCCGAGGCCTCCTTGAGGTGAGGAAGGGCTTTTTCCCATCCCCCCAACTCTTGGCGAGGATCAGGGTCTGTCTGATGTTCCTGTGTGTTTCTAGGGCCATGGGTCTCGGGGCATTGTACTGTGGACAGTTTAGGCCCTGTAACCCTTCCTTATTTCTTTACTAAAGGCTAAACAGGCTGGTTAAAAAACCCACAGAAGTAAAAACCAGGCAGATGGTGTAAAATGGAAATGAAGCCTCTCCCTAGCTCCACCCCCACTCTCTCTCCTGTTTCTCTCTTACCTGTTTCTGGTGTCTGTCCCAGGAAAGCCCCTGGCCCTCACAGGCGTAAACCTTCTCTACAAAGGCGAACGGGGCTGTGCCGCACAGTGCTGTTGTAGGGCTGAAGCCCTACAGGGTCGTGGGGTGTCCCCTATCGCTGTGCTGAGGCACAGGACGCAAGAAATAAAGAGACAGGACCCGGCCAAGGAAAGTGCAGCTGGGTGCAGGGGGCCACGCCACCTATAAGCACAGACAGGTGAGGCCCAAACGTCCAGAGGCATCTGTATTTATTGGGTATAGGTTAGGGGGCAGGGTAGTGAGTGAGGTCATCTTTAAGGATAGTCATAGAGTCGTGAGCAATAAGCAAGGGGTCCACTCCCATTATGTCCCCAAGGCATGGAGGTGGGCCGTGCACAGCGAAGAGGGTGCAGTGTGCAATATATGGGCATGCTACTTCTAAGAACATCTAGAAGAGGATGCTTTGACTCACACAGCAGCGGCAGAGCTGACAGGGCTGGTTACCGCCCCCTGCTGGCAGCTTCCACTGATTTCTATAGGAGGATGGTTTTGAACCAGCACAGTAACCAGAGCTGATGAAGTTCAGTCACCAAGGCGAGATTATACTGGAGGGGTTTTAAGCCCTTGGGGGCCCTCGGGATTGCCGCTCTGAGGGCAGCCTTCCACAAGAACTGGAGCAAGGTCCTACAACTCCTTTATCAGGAGGAGTGGCTCTTGCCCCAAGCCTGCCATACAGCGGATATCTTTATGACACTGAACGCTGCTGCCTGGGCCATGGATTCTTGTCCTGGTGTAACTGTTTTTCCCTAAATCATGCTCTGTACCGTGTCTGTTCTATACATTCCTCTGACTATAAGCTGCTTATGCCTTAATTCATGCTCTGTACTGTGTCTGCTGTAGGCATTCCTCCGACTATGAACTAAAATATAATTATATATATATATGGAAATAACAGATTAGTAGGACATTCTTCAGGCACTCATTCTATAAACTAATATATGATTATATATAAAGGATAATATAAAAGGAAATAACTGAGTAGTAATACTATAAACTGAAATATTCTTCAGGCACTAATTGTGCTAGGAATCTGCTTAGCTCTCCTTCCTTGGTGCCTAGATGGGGGGTTACCCACAGCTGTGCCTGTCCCTGTCCCGGGTCCACCTGCTGTCCATTGACTGTCACCAAGGATGAAGTAAGGATTGGCCATTCCTACCTGTTTTCCACTACTACAGACACCTCTGCCAGGTTTTCAGTTTCCATGGGAGCGTGTCTGGGATGCCTCCTAGCTCTCTCCCTGCAGGCTGAAGGGACGTGGATGGGGGTGGTCTGGGCTCTGGAGGGTACCCTCTACCTCATCATGCATGGAGACATGAAGGTGTGGAGAGGCGGCGCGGGGGGGGGGGGATGTCCTCACCAGCACCGGCAGGTTGGGGAGAGATGGCGATGTGGAGGGCCCTGGGCTCCAAGCACCCAGGGAAGGAATCTGATCACTGAAGCCTCATGTCCTCCTCCCTCCCTGAAACGTTGCTGCCTGTGGTCTGATTGGAAGCTGAGTTCCGGCAATTAATCCCATCAGAGGGGCTCTGCTGAATGGTAGGAGGTTTTTTCTGTTTTGCTCCCTTGGTCTAGATTTCCCCGGGGACAGCTCTGACCAGCCTCTGCGTGCCTGGTAAATTAAATGTTAAAAAAATCCTCACAATGACTTTAATCAATCCGCTGACATGGCGGGTGGCCTCCTCCCAGAAGCCCTTGGTCCGCTGAAGGGAGCCCAACCCCCCAGGCTCAGGGTCTTGGATGAGACAGGATGGGGGAAAAGGAGCCAGGACAGCCTCTCCAGTCCCCTTCCTGTGGGGGAGGGATGAGGGCGGGTAGTCTCCAGAGTGTCCTCCTGGAGAGTGACAGGGAGAAAGGGGGGACTCTGGCCCCCTTTATAACTTGCCCTGATCCCAGGCCAGGAGTGATGGTGGACTCAGGGAGGGGGCAGCTCTTCCACCAGACCGGAAGTCTGGGTGGGTACAGGGCAGGTGGTCATGATCAGCCATGTGGTCAGCAATTCCAGCGTTTATGGTGATGCTGTTGGAGACAAATTTAAGTGCTGGGCTCTCGGGGTTAGAGTCAGGTTGAGACGTCCTCCAGCCACCACTGGGGGGAGTCGGGGAAGGACCCGGTCGGCAGGCTGGTCTTCAGACACTGGGGCAGTGGGGTCGTGCGGAGTGGCCAGGGTCCTTCCCAGGGGAGAGTAGAGGGGTGCAGGGGGCAGAGAGCGCAGAAGGTCTAGCCCAGCCTCAGCACCCCAGCCAGGCCATAGGTGCGCGCTGGCGCCGCTGAAAACGTTCTCCTTCCTTCGTCTGCTCACCTTCCAGGTCCTGCTCAAGGCGCATCCTCTCTCCTGGGCAGTGTCCCTGACACTCCCGAAACTCCCAAGGACCTTCTGCGTGGGCCTTGCGCATTTAGGCGAGACTCTCTGCCTGCTTGATCCTCCCCTAAGCCAGGCATCTCACTCAGTTGCGCGCCGGGCTGGGGCAGCCCACAGGAGGAGCGCGGGACCTGGGCTAGAGTTAGCACCCAGGCAGAGCGCCCGCCCCCGCCCCTAGTTCCGGACCCTTAAAGTCAAGTCGTCTTGCCGGGCGGCCAACCCGAATCTTCCAGCCCTCAGGGAGTCGGGGTTGGGGCAGGGAAGGCCACGGGTGCTGGGAGAATCGGGATCCTGGAAGGGAGACTCGGAGACTGCGGTCTCGCAGCGTGCGCTCCGTGGTCCGGTTGGGGTGGGCCTTGGAGGTCTACAGGCCAAAGTTGAATGCGGGCCCTGGAGCGTGGGCGGGGTGACATGCACAGGTCACTGGGCTCTGAGCGTTTCCACGGGCCAGGACCCCAACGCGAGGAGTCCTCAGGACAGACTGGAGGGGGAAGGGGGCTTCGACTGTGCCCCAGTCGGCAGGCTTTTACAGCAGCCGCGCTGCCCCTCCCTGCCCGGCACCTGGCAGGAGGCGCCGACGTCTGGGGGCGTGCGAGGCAGGTGGGTGCGGACCGCGACCCGATTCTGGCCCCCATTCTCGCCCCATTGCGGGCGGGGCCGCTGTCCCCCACCTGCAGTCCGCGTGGCTGGTGTCTGGCTCGCCGCCCGGGCGGAGGGGGCGCTGTCGGCGCGGGCGGGCGGGGCCGGAGCGCGGGGGCGCGCGGCGCGGAGCGAGCGCAGGGCTCGGGGGCGCGGGCCGCGGAGGACCGGGGGTCTGGCGGGCGGCCCTGCGCGGTGCGGGGCGCGGCGGCGGCGACGGCGGGCGCGCGGCCAGTGAGCGCGCGGGCGGGGCGGCGGCGGCGGCGGCGGGAGGCGCTCGGGGCCGCTCCGCTCCTCCATGGCGCTGCCCGGGTCGCCCGAGCCGCCCCGCGGCGCGCCCCGCAAGGTTCCCAGCCTGCTGGAGATGGGGGCGCTCTGCCTGGACTCGGAGATCATCCTGGGCTTCACCAGCCACCTCCTGAGGCGGCGAGGCAAGGTGAGGGCTGGCGGGTCGGCGGGCGGCGAAGGTGGCGTCCCGCGACTTTGCAGCGCGGCTCGCGCGGCCGGGGGTGCGGCGCCCGGAAGGAGACGGCCGGTCCGGAGCCGCCTCCCGCAGCTCGGGCTGGGACTCGCTGCCGTACTTTCCCCGTTGGCGTTGTCCGCGTCTCCCTCTCCCTTAGCGGCTGTGTCCCGAACAGACCCACCCGGAGGCTGTGGCTAGGGCGGACAGCGCAGCGCGGGGACTCCCCGGCTCACCCTGCGCCTTGCTAGGATGGGCGAAGTAGGGGGTCAGGGGCTCCTGACTGTTGCTGAGCCTGCGAGGTGACTCAAGCCCCATCGTGCACCCGGTGCTCTGCGGATATGGGATGTGAGCTTGTGCTTCCCAAAGCGCCGCGGCAGCGGAAGCGCTGAAGTTGCGGGTGTGGCTGGCCATGGGCGCAGGACCCGGGCTCCCGATCGCTGCGAGCTCTGGGTCGCGCGTGTGGGTGGGGGGACGGGATATAGAGGGCGTGTGTCCCGGAGCGGTGGAGCGGCGGGGGGCGGGGCTGTCTGCCCGCAGTGTGGGGTGGGGTGGGGGTGTTGTCCTGGGTACCCAGATACGGATATGGGCTGACGCCCGTTTTCTTTCTCCAGACTGCGATGAGATGGGTAGGGGAAGCGCTTCCGGGGCCCCAGGCAGGGTGGAAAGGGGCTGCAGGCTTACGGATCGCTGAAAGAGTGGAGAGCCCCTGCCACTTTATTCCACACCCCCTTGCGTTTTCGAACCCCTAAGGTCATCAACGACCCGGAAAGCCGGCAGGGGATCATCCACCCCACTTTCTGGGGAGTGCATGCGTGGGCGGGAAGGCTTATCCAAGTAAAAGGGGGTGGGCAAAGCGGAGAGGGTCCGTTTGGCGTCTGGAGTCTGCGCGAAGGCCTCACGGTAGGCGCCGCAGTCGCGTGTCTGGGTCTCCGCCGGGATCTCAACCTCCGGAGTTTCGGAGTGCGCCTCCAGGCCTGGGACGCGCGGCGCCGGGTCTCCCCAGCCTCGGGGTCGTGCGCGCGGCGGCCGGCAGGTGGCGCTCACATCCCGGGGAGCCCGCCCGGCGGGACCCAGGCTTCGGGGCTGACCCGGAGCCTGTCCCCGAAGCCGCCTGCGGCCGCAGATGCCGGCAACATTGGGGGCCCGCTAGGGCCGGAGCAACTGGTCGCCAGGGAAGGGGGGCGACCTCCCAGCCGGAGACAAACAGGCAATTAATTCCGGAGCTGAGTTCCCATCTGCCAGGCCTGCTGACAACAGGTCCCGCGCACGCCCGCAGGGCCTCCCGCTTTCCGGGCGGCACGGCGCGCACACCCACTTGCGGACACACGCGCGGCTGCAGACACGTGCCGTTCGCAGACTCGCCGAGGCGCGGATACGCCGGCGCGGGCGCTGCCCGGCCTGAGGCGCACACCGCCGCGACACTCACCCACGCGTGACAGTGAGACCCAAAGTGGCCCACGACACGCAGAGTACGCTGGGCTTGCTGGAAAGGCGCCCGGGAGTCTGGGGGCCGGGGTCCCACCCCTTCCTCGTCCCACCTCGCCGTGGGACTTGGGTAAGCGCGTCCCCTCCGCGGCCTCAGTTTTCCCGCCGGTTGAGGGAGGGGCGTCGGCTCCTCCTGGGAGACGCGCAGCCCCGGTGTCCCGGGAGGCGCATGCGCGCGCGCAACTAGCGCCTCGCCGCCCCCAGCGCCCCTCCCCGGGAAGGGACTCACCTAACAGGTTGGAGTCCTCGGAGTACGAGGGACGGCGCGGGGAAGCGGGGATCCCACCCCCAACGCGCCAGCCAGCAGTGGGCAAGGGCGGGGCACTCCCTGGGCTCCCGCCCCCAGCGGCCCGCCCCGGGAGCCCCGGCCCCGCCCCGGCCCCGCCCTCGCCTCCCGAGCTCGCCCACCGCGGCCACCAAGCGCTCTGCGCCACTCGCAGGCTCCGCGAACTTCCGAGCGGCTGGGCCGGGCCATGGGGGCGCCTCGGGGCCGGATCACTTAGCCGCGGCGCCCCCGGAGAGCCAGCGCGGCCCGGAGCGCCCGCCAGGCTCTTCCCGCGCCCCGGCCATGGTCGGCCGCGGCGTCTCTCTGTGCGCGGCACAGCCCGCGGTACGCGTGGCCGGGCCGGGAGAGGGAGGCGGGTCGGGGGACGGCAAAGATACTCGCGGGGTGCGCGGCGTCGCTAGGGGCCGGGCCTCCTGCTGCGGGTAGCGGACTGGCAGCCGGGACCTCCGGGGATGGAGGGGGAGGGGGTGAGTGCCAGGGTCGCGCCCAGCGCTCCTAACTTCGGCGAGAGCGTCACTCTGGGGCAGTGCGCGCTGGGGTCTGGACCGCGGGACGTCCCAGGCTCACTGTCCACTTCCGCCCCCACACCCTGCAGGTGGCCGAGGGCGACCCGGCCCGTGCGCCGCCAGAGGTGTCCCCCCGAAAGAGGCTGCCCGCCAGGCCCGATCAGGACCCATGCGGCAGCCGCCCTGCGCCCGAGGGCGCCGGGGCCAGCGCAGAGCAGGGCCACTCGGCCGGCGGAGGCGGCTGGTGCCGCCACTGCGACACGAAGCTCGTGGAGCTCAAGCGACAGGCGTGGAAGCTGGTCAGCGGGCCCGGGACCACCCTCCGGGTAAGTGACGCTTCCTTAGGCCGATCCCTCTGGGCAAGGCCACGCTGAACTTGGGTAGACGTTGGGGCTTGGAGGGAAGCAGCGTTCCACTCCTTCCCTGCTGCGGGCTCCACAGAGAGTTTTCAGCCAGGTCTTCCCCTCTGCCGGCCTCCATTTCCCGGTCTGTAATACCGTGTGTGAGCTCGGGCAGCTCATCCCGAGGGAGCCTGCTGCCTCGAATGGGAGGGGCCTGGGTTGGCGCTCCTCCCTCAGCCCAGATGTCCCACAGCTGGAATGCAGGTTTGTGTAGGAGGGGGAGGGGAAAGAACGCATGTCGGGGACTCCACCCAGGGCGGGACAGCTCTTGTTCTGCCAGCAGGGAGAGGTTAGCTGGTGCACTGTGGCCCTTGGGGCACCTGGGCTGCCAGCCAGGTGTCTGGAAGTTACACACCTGGGGCCGCAGGGCCTGGTGGGTGAAAGGGTGGGCCACCCCCAGCAGCTGGGGGGTCCCTGCCTGCTCCTCTCCCAGGCTCCAGGATAAGAACTGTTGTCCCACACCTCCTTCGACAGACTGAGGCAGAGGCTCCTGGGGGTGATGGAGTCTGGGCCTCCCCGTTCCCCCAGCCTCAGGGCTCCAGCCTCAGGGGTGGGTGCTTGCAGAGGAGGGTTCTCCTGGGTTTCTAGCCAGTAGGCCTGCCTGGCTTCACGGGAGCAGGGACCATTGTTCCAGGAACAATGCATGCTGGAAGTTCGCAGAGGCTGGGGGCCGGTGGGGGTCTCCAGAGGAAGCCCGCTGCCCGACCTTCAGCCTTTATGAAAGAGTTCCTGGGAAGTCCACATAATCCCCATTGAATCTAAATATAGCTCTCCAAGGAGGGCCGTGGGGGTTGGAGCGAGCTGAGACCCTGACTTCCCTGTCTGGGGCAGGGCAGGGTGTGGCAGGGTACCAGTGTGCTTTCTGTCCTGGGCACCTTTTTCTGGGTCCTCGGGAGTCTTGGCGAGGGGTGGGAGTACTGCAGCCTCTCTCTCTGGCCCGGCCCAGGGGCCTGTGGGCCTGTCTTGGGTGGGGCTGGACCCGCCCTGTCGCTGCTCTGGGCAGCCTTGGCCACACTCTCTACCCCAGTGGCCTGTATCTATCTACTTTAAAAGGCAGCAGGAGACCCTTAGGGCCCCCTGGAGAGGTCCAGCCAGAGCTAAAGGCCCATCTTGCTGCCCCGTTAGGGAAACAGGCCAGAGATAGGAGTGACTGAGCTGGTCTCCCCACTCTTGGAGTGGGCTTGGTCTGCTGATGCTGCCTGGCCCCGGGGCCATGGTCCTGGTGTGCACCCGTGGAGGGGAGGGGGCTCCCATTCGTGGGCAGGCCAGGGGTCCTAGTGGAGAGGGCTGCAGGCCATACTAGTCCCCGGCAGATTTGAGGCTCCTCATCTGGGGGGTGTCTTGGTGGTCTCTTCGGGAGACAGGTCATCAAGGGAGCCCCAGACCACCCAACTGCGGTCTCCGCTTTGACACTGGAAACTCCTCTTCAGTGCCAGCTGGGGGCTCCCCCTTCCCTGGCTGGCGCTGGCACCCAGCACACCAGGGTCCTGGGCTGGGCTCAGCCAGGGCTATGTTCGACTCTGGGCCCCCTTCTGCTTTGTCGTCTCTTCTGTCACCTGGGGTCTGTTCTGAAGTGCTGTCCCGCCTGCAGGGTGCTATGCCCCCAGGAGAGAAGGCCCCATCTTCCACTGTCTCGCCACAGGCTATGGGGGTTGCTGTGCCTGCGACCCTGGGGCCTGACGGGGGTCACTGTCCTGTTCCCTGTGCAGGCCTGGGCTGTCCTCAGCTTCCTAGCAGAATTGCAGCCTGTGGCCCTGGCCTGGCCTCCTGGGCCCAGATGTACAGACATAGCTGCTTCTGTGTTTGGGTTTGGAGGGAAATCTTTGTGGGGCGGCCAGGGGGACCCAAGTGTGCTCCCCAGAGTCCGGTGCACTGTCTGGGGGCCCTGGCCTCTGCTCTCTAAGGCCAACGTGGCAAGGGGGATTTAGAGTTGGTGTTCCAGGATTTCCCCCAGAGCTCCATTTGGTATTTTTAGGGGAGAGATGAGCTTCCCTGAGGCTAGTTTACAGTTTACAGAGAATTTCACTAACATCTGTCTGTCTCAAGCTTGGATCTTCAGAGGCCCAGAGAGGCAGGGAGGCTTGCTGGGACCCAGCCTGGCTGCTAGAGGCCCTCGCCTCTGGGCTCCCTGCCTGTCTCAGTTGTAGATGGAGGCTTAGAGGGTCCAGGGCCACCCTGCCGGGGTCCCCTTGAACGTGTTGCCTTTTTTTTTTTTTTTTTTTTTAAGTAGAGTCTCGCTCTGTTACCCAGGCTGGAGTGCAGTGATCCTGGCTCACTGCAACCTCTGCCTCCCAGGTTCAAGCGATTCTTCTGCCTCAGCCTCCCAAGTAGCTGGGATTACAGGCACGCACCAACACGCCCAGCTTATTTTTTGTGTTTTAGTAGAGATGGGGTTTCACTATGCTGGCCAGGCTGGTCTCAAACTTTTGACTTCGTGATCCGCATCTGCCTGCCTCAGCGTCCCAAAGTGCTGGGATTACAAGTGTGAGCCGCCGCGCCCAGCGGAAAGTGCTGCTCTTTAGCCAGCCTGTGAAGCCACACAGTTCCCCCTGCACTCAGACCCACCCTCCTGGCAGGAGGCAGTTCCCTTGAGCAGGTTCCTGGAGCTCTTGGCCACTGTTTCCTGCACTGTGACGTGGGACTGTCTTTGTGGCCATCACACAGGTGCATAGTAGTGCCGGGAAGGGGTGCACGCTCACCTTGGTGGCAGCTGCTGCTGTTTGCTGAGTTTGGGACCTCGAGTCACTGTGCCTGGGGCTGCTGGAGCCCAGCTGTCCGGCGGGTTGCCCAGGTACCAGGCCTGCCTGTCCCTGGCTGCTGTGTGCTCTCATCTGCCCGAGCCTGCCTCAGTTCCCTTGTCTGGGCAGTGAGGGTGACCCTGGTTCCCCCATCTGGGGACCTCATCTGTGTGGCGTGGATAAGACTGTGCCCTTTTCCACCTTTCTGAGCCCTGGTGCCCGGCTGGCGGTATGTGGGGGGGCACATTCCCTTCCTGCCCAGGTTGGAGCCCCAGGGGATTGTCTTTCCCGATTTGAGAAGGGTGTTTGGCCCTGGGTGTGGAGGGAAAGCCCCATGATGAGTGTGGCGTGGGCCCTGCTCCTCCGTGCACCCCACACTGTGCGCCCTGCTCTCACTGGGGTCCTCAGGCCTGGTCTCTGGGCTGACTGCTTCAGGGCCCCCGTGGTCTGCAGCGGTGCCTGTGGCCTGGCCTCCCATGGGCTCCAGGGCCCTTTCTCTACTGGGTTTCTCTGTTCTACCCTGCCACAGACGCTGTCCTCCTCCCCAGAGCCCCTGGCCTCCCTGGGTAGGAAGCCCTGCAGTGTCCCTGCTCTGGCCTCCAGGGCCCCTTCTCAGGGGCCCCCAACTCTGAGATGTCCCTGTGGGAGGCAGCAGCCCGGTGCCTCCCACTCAGCAGGCAAATCTGGGGCCTCTTCTTTTTTTCCACATCCGAGGCCCCCTTGCCCTCCCCATGCACACCCACCTCCTTGAGCAGCTCCCCAAGTTCTCGCAGACCCCTTCCCTCTCCCCAACCCCAGGCCTGGTTTCCCACAAACGGAGCTCTGCCGGGTCAGGCATGGGGTCCCGGTCATCTGGAGGTGTTTGTTGAATGACTAAGTGACCAGGGTTTTCCTCCCACACCCCACTTGCTGGTGGTCACCCCAGGGACTGCTGGGGCTGGATTCCGGCTCTCTGCTCCTCAGAATGACAGTTCCCATGGAGGACGACGATCCCCCTCCCCCACAAAAGATAGTTCCTTGCTTCAAGGAGAGGGTCCCTGCTTGGGCATCCGTTCCAGCTGCTGACAGACACGTCATGTGAGGTGTCGACCCCGTGACATTTGAAGCGTCAATACTGGCAAGGAATTGATTATCACCCCTGATGGGGAAAGTGATCAATTCTCATTTAGCTCCTGTGTGTCTCTCGCTCATCCAGGCGGGGGGCTCATCTTCATGGCCCCTGAGAGCTCCAGAACCACTGCTGTGCTGTCTGCAGGTGCCATGCAGCCCACCAGCAAGGGACGCTGCCCAGGTGGCTCTGGCCCTCCTCCCTGTGAAGCTCCGAGGCGGCCCCTGTGCGCAGGGAGTCCTCTGTCGTGGGTCAGAGGCTGGGAGCCCTCCTGCCGCTCTGCGTGGCCTGGTGGGTCCTGCTTCTCCTTGGAAGCTGCTCCTGGGCCTCTGCTTTTCCCGCCGCCTCTCTGCTTTGACTGGAGGTGACTCATGCCAGCTTTTCGTTCCTCTTCTGTCACTTGTCCGAGGAAGCCCTCTTAGCCCCCTGGGCAGGT